GTCGGTCCTTTTGTTTGGTGTATAAAGAGCACAAACGATTACTTGATTAAAAAATAGTAATTATCATTGATTAGGGTTACTTCCTTTCTTCCACTTCTATTTTTAAGTATAGTTCAAAATTGAAATTGAAATCGAAATCGACTTCAATTAACGCACGGTTTCTCACTTCATAACACATGGTGTGAAGCAAATGATTTTGGCAGGCATGTCCTGGTCACATTTCATGCTAGCGAGCATCTTCATTCTACCCATAACTAAAGTTCGCAAGTGATTCTTTTAGTATGATCCATTAAACAAACATGTGTGTAATGATGAGATTAGAATGGACACATTGTTAGGTGAATTATATCCACAAACACAGGTGTGAAATAATGAGATGAGAATGGCAACATTATTAGGTGAATTCTATCCATGAACATGTATGCTTGAGTGACTAGAATCGAGCAACAGCATTGGCTCTCTTATTAATTCATAACTAAAGCAATATAAGCCACTTAGTGGAGGCCTTGGACCACTTGCATCAGCTAGAAAACCTGGTTTTTCCCCCCATTTTACAGAAAGTCAAATTTACTTTTGGTTAAATAATTGGATAAAGTGGCTGCGGTTATAGAGAAAGTGGATCTAGGAAAGCAAGAGATGTCACCAAACCTTTATTTGATTTGAAGATTCTTGACTGGAAAATTGTGCATGCATGCGTCATTTTCCACTCAGCCACAGCATGACATTGTTTCTTTTGGCAAATCCTTCTTTGGCTCTTTTTTAAAGGGGAAAGTTATTTTAAGTTTGCATTGAGCTCAATGAGCGATGATTTATTTGTTTCGATTATTAGGTATAGGAACGTGTCGTCCACCACAATCATGAGATCAATATGGTAATATATAAGAAATAGAGAGATAATGAAATGTGCTTCGGTCTGGAATTAAGACCTACATCCATGGAGAGAGCGAAAATAATCCCCTATGAACGAAAGATTACAAGCTTGAATCGATGTCACTCTCAGTTCCAAGCCCCGATTAAACTTAATTAATCCTTACCTTAGTATTTTACATAATCTTTCAATGTTTCGTATCAAAACTCATAAAAGAGAAAGCCTTGAAACATTCTCAATGGACTTTAACACATAACGCCGCAAAGTACCTTCAAACAGGCTTTCAAAATGAGAGTCAGGCCGAGTTTATGGCACTTGCCGAGTCTAGCCAGGCGCTCACTTCATGCCCATTGTGCCTGGACAAACGCAATCACCTGGCCGGGCGCCCACTTGGCCGCCTTGGCGCGTGTTTGGGTGCTCGGCATGTGCCCAGTAGCCACAGGCCATTCCAAGCCAATGGCCGGCAGCTTGGGACTATGTAACCAGATGCCTAGCCCTTCCCCGTAGGTCATGGCCCAACAGCTCGATCTCATATCCTCAAGGGCCGAATCATCTCAACGCACCTCGAGCGCCTCGTCAAAATATATATATATATATATATATATATATATATCTTTTTCACCTTAACCTTAACTCCGGGCTTCAATCATTGCTTGGATATTTGGTACATTCACAGATATCAATTTTATTATATGGTTGAATTGTTAACAGGGCAAATAGAAGGCCATTTCTTTTCTTGTATATAGTGGGTCAACCCCACATAATTGAACGGTCCGTATACATTTGGATGTACCCACTCCAAATAAGTAATAAAATTACCATTTCCTGGGGGAAGTTAGCAAAGTAGATCACCTTCCTATGCGTCAAGCCATCTCCACTTTTGCCATTGTTTGTAATGATTTGGTCAAAACACTCAAAACGCCCAAACCATTCGCCGAGCAACCAAACTTTTGGCATCTTTCAGTACGTATTCGGCCATGTTTGGACACTGACGAAACCAACAAGACAGGAGATTAAACAATGACCTAGAAAGAGCCCCACAAGCAACAACATCCTGGTGATGACCCATGATGTTAGAACGTGACAAAAGCAATCAAAAGGGGCAGCAATTATACGTAAATGCGTGTGGATTCTGTTTGCTAGAATCTATGCAGCGATTCCCCAGCAGTTCCTCTCAGCTGCCTATGCTGCTCAATTGAGGTGTTTGCTTCATTCACTTGTCACCAACACATCCTCGACAGGTGTACACAGAAAAGAATTTGGGAGGGTTCCCGTTGTTCTCTCGTGAAGAAACGAGAAATTATTGTGCACGCTTGATTGGTTTACTAGATTAAGCCAATGGTTTGCTAGGGAGTAGAGCTTGAACGATCCCGAATCAAATTACACGTTCTAATCGATAGTTGTTGACCTTGAGTATTCAAGTAAGAAATGAGAATGGAAAACTTAGGTTTCTAGTGTTTTCATTCTCATAAGCTCTCGCAGTTGGCATTCTAAACATGAACGGTAAACTTTGAGAGGTACCAAATAAATGGCTATTTGAATCGGAGTTTTGGGCATAAAGTCGATCTGGACATTTCCATGCATGAACGAGATGTTCACTGCCTTTAGGCGACTGCTAAGTAAAGCCTAGAAGCTCACTCCCGAGGTGATTGACCTGGTGGATCAAGGTAGAGGATTCTTTATTCTTTCCATTTTTAAGTGATCGCCAGCTCGAAACTTGCTTACCACTAGGCCTAATTAATGTCAGACCTAGGCGCGGGTCTTGGATGATCGAGTCGATGTAAGTGCCTAAGGGTCCTTGTCAAATCCTTCCGCCAATACAAAGTACTAATTTTTCTTCTCAAAATGATCGCATCCAGGCAAGTCTAACCAATCCTCGGTTGCATGCACTAGTTTAAGAAGGAAATTGGTTAACTGAGTCCCCCCAAATCGTGCTTTTGACGTGGGCAGGCCCGACAGGTCGCTAGGTTCATGATCGGGAGTTTACTCGGGATAGCGGTACTCGTGACCACACACCGTTGAGCGGAGTTCTATTCCGCCACAATCTTAGCGGAGTTGCTGGCTCGCTCATCTCAAGTTTTAGACTCTCGATGGCCTCTCTTCAAATTTATATCTCGCAAGCACTAGTTACGACACTCGAATCATATATTTCTATACAAGGCGTGCAATTCTTATGCCAACATTATGGGAGAGTTTGGACCGGAGGAAGTCCTTAAAAGGCTCCCTAAGGGCCCACTCGGGTCTGTTCCCGGAGGTTAAAAGGGGATATGTATTCCGGCTCCTCCCGGAAGAAAAAGGTAGGAGGGGAACTTTGAGGGCTTCCCCTTCGTGGGTCGGGAGGGAACACCTCCGGGGGGTCAGTCCACGCAAATGCGACTCAATACGCAGGACAGGCTCTTATCCGAGCGAAAATTATAGGCACCTAGCTGTAACTATATAGTTGTAACTACTTTCTTTGTATTTTCCAAAAGCTAGGACTACTTGGAAAAGCTATCTATCACGCTTCAATTATTGCGACCTTCATCAATAATCGATTTTAATATGTACCGTAGGCGTGCTGCACACGTTCTGCCTAAGTCAATGTGCAAAGTCTTTGATGTCATTCATCGGTTTGCTTTCGATGGAGAGGAAGGTTCGAGGAACATGCCTGTGTTCACACGCCAGCCACAAGAAAAAAATAATGGTTCTCGTCCTTTGTTGTCGCAAGTAGCACTTCTCCCACCGGTCCTTCTAATGACCAAATTTGGGACAGAGCAAGTCGCATCGATGCCCCTCTATTTTCTTCACCCGTGATCCCCGAGGAAGTATATACAATTTTCCGCTTTCGATTTTTTTCGTCGAAAAAATCGAATCGAAAATCCGCGATTATACGAAGTACTCAAAATGGCGGGACAAGGCACAAAGGATTATTTCTTTTCTTTTGAACAGACATTTTCGAAGATTTGAGTTAATAATCGTTATAGGAACAATCACCAGAACATAAAGTTTAAAATAAAAAGGAAAAAAGAGTCATAATCATTGGGAGATATTATTGGAGTGTGGTCCATGCTCTCTATTGACAAGAAGGCACGATATTATATAGTTTGAGCTCGTATTTTATTGATGGTTTGAGTTTGGATACATGAATATCTAATGTGACATAGATATATATAAAATATCTTTCTTTTGTAATTGAAAGTTGTAACAGAGAGATAAGATGTGTTAATTATAGTGAAATTCTCTACTAGATGTAGTTCTGTTTTAAGAATGAATAAAAATAAAACATTGCGTCTCGAATTCTCTTTCTCGCATTTACTCTCTATTTCGTTATGTTTGTACGCCTAATCCTAACAGACATCCTGCAATTTTTTTATGTTGAAGTGGGTCAATGGTCTCACATTCTCAAATGGGTTAATGGTTACGTAGATTTTTTGAGATGACATAAATTGTTTTGATTTTGGTTGAAGCAAAGAGGAAGCTCAAAGCTCATAGCTGCACCTATTTTTTACTTATCTCTACAGTAATTCCTCCAAGAACTGTTCTTTGAGGTCAGTTTGGGGGTTAGTAGTTGTTTGGACCGCAAAATAATAGATCTCTCTTTTCGATTTTGTGCCTATTATGATATTTTCTCATCCAATTCTTTATTGGATGAGAAAGATCTTCTTCAGCAACTCGTAAGGAAAACTCGTCGCTGAAGGTCGTCACTTGCGACTTGTGTGGTTGGCACGTACTCCTTTTGCGGGCTTGACTTGCACAGAACAGATCAAGTTGTTATAAGTCGTAGGATAAGATATGAACCTGTAAAAATGGGGTTCAAGGACGGACTCTGATCTATTAGAGAAGGGTAGGTGTGATGACTGGGGTAAGAGTGTTCAAACAAGGCGAGACTTCTGGCATCCTTCGATGACGGCGTGGACGAAGCGCGAGGGACTATCGTTGTTCGACATAGGCTGACACCAACGAGGACATCGGTGCCTTAGATAGGAGAGTTTACGGCACTCCAAATCTCACAGAAAACTGGGAATCGGGTCGGGTCAACATAGAAGCGACATCATATTACGCATGACCACGATGGACAAAGACCGACAGATCGGTATCTAAAACGACCGTAGGAGCTCCATGATTGTTAAAGTGCGTGATTGCCAGGGTAATGTCAAGCAAACCAAGGGGAAAAACCCTGTAGTTATCACCTCCAATAATTGACGAATCTTTGCTTCACGCAAACTGATACAATCAAGAGAAGAGAAAGCAAAGGATCAGCCAATCTCTTCAGATGTCGCCATCACGTATCTTGAGACCGTGATTGCGATATCAACACACACACAGAACAGCTGTATGCATTCACTGCACCCGATCAGTAAAAGCTTCTTTAAAGGGCAAAACAGGACACCTGAATTCGCAGTTTCTGCCATTGAAATTACCTTCCCTCAAGAAGGCTTCAGGGCCCATCAAGCTCTAAATTCCTTCAACTTTATGGGCCTAAAACCAGAACCGCTGAACATCTTCCTAGGCTAATTAAACTAAAATTTCCGACAAAGGGCAAAAGAAAATCAAGAAAAGGGTCGAAAGAGGGAATCTGTACGAGAATATACTGCAAATTGGTGAGAACTGATTAAAATATCGACACCTGCAATTTGGGGGAAAAATGAGAGGAAACTGGGGAATCCCATCAGTAGGAACAGGCCAATCTGTGGACGACACGGTCCCTGAGAATTCCGTTGTACAGAGCCATCCTATTGGCAGGCATTCCTCTGACTTTGCTGCTTGCATTCTTCTTGAACTTGGTCGGACTTGACGGGGGAGAGGGAGGAGGGGAACTGGTGGCGATCCCGTGCTGTCTCCTGAACTCCGCACTGTACCCGCTCGGATCCACCACGTCCTCCGCGAAGTGAACTCTCTTCTTCTTGTTCTTCTCTCTCTGCTTCCCGTCTTTTGAAAAGGTAAAAAAGAAAGACACCCACGATCATAACTTGGAAGAAAGGAAGGATTTTGTGACATGGGTACTTGGGAATGATTGAAGAAAAGAAAAAAGGGTTCTCGTACCGGATGACATGCAAGAGCGGAGGGCCCGGGGCGAAGGCTGCGAGACATGATCGTCGACGGGCTTCTGGAGGAGGAAGGCGAGGAGGATTACGGTGCCGGAGACCGCCATGGCGGTGGCGAAGGCCATCCCTTGAGGGGTCAAGATGGAAGACATGGTGAATTTGATGAAGAAGGACAAGCAAAAGAACAGAGAGAGAGAAAGAGAGAGATTAGTGAATTGGCTGCTTTGAGCAGAGGAAGAAGATGATGGTTGCCTTCTTGTGGGTTAGTTGGTCTGGTCTGGTCTGGTCTTCACATGGAGAGAGAGAGAGAGAGAGAAGGAGAGAGAGAGAATGGTAAGGTGGTTGCAATGGAAGCTAAACAATGTGGCAATAAATAATAATAGGCCATATGATATGGTGACATAGAACAAAAGTAAGGGCCTCAAATTGGCATTTTTTTATTCGAATGAGACCAGTAGTAGTAGCAAATTGGGAAAAGGAAGAGTGGGATTGGTGGCTTTTATTTTCTTTGTTGAAAAAAATATATATTTTTATAGTACTGAATGAGAGGAATGTCTAAAGAAAGTTTTGGATTTTTACGGGCATGACGTCGGTTTACCTGATCTCGATGCAATTTAGCATATGCTCGGAGGAAATTAAATTTGGGCGGACTTTTCGATTTAGTGCGAGATGTAAACCGTTCACAAGGTTTTCAAAATACAACTCTTCATTACAATAAAATGTGACTTTTGTACTTGAATTTTGCACTTAATCCTTGTTTGGCACCTAATCTTTATCCATCTTAATTAATATCATTTCCAATATATATCCTAAGGCTTAGGGTGTCCATGAATCCAAAATCAGCAGGCATGTAACTTAATTGACTGACTTAGAATATTTAGGAGAGATACTTAGGAAATGTTCATCATTAGATTTGGGAAAGTTTAGATGCTTTGGTTAAGCTTTACATTTATCAGGCTAAGCGTTCGATTTATGCTTTTAATGGTGGCCAAAATAGGGCAAAAATCGGATATAGGATGAGTAGATAGAGCTTCTCCATTATCCATGGGATTAGGTGTATTTATGTTTTTAATACACTACCAAAAAGCCAGCCCACTAACCGCCCAAAAGGAAAAAATATAAATAAATAACCCTCACTAAATTTTGAAGAAAAAAACAAAAAGAAAAACATCTCATTTAGAGATTAAATAAGGTATATCTTTTGCACGAATTACCATAATGTTATTTTACAATAATAAAGATAATGTTTTCCCTTCACATTTAATTTAAGAATTTATATCTACGGATTTATGTAATTTGCGCCTGCGCAAATTCTAGTGTCGGAGAATTAACTAACATTTTCATTTTATCATATCCAAAAGCCCCTTTTCATTTCAAAAAAAAAATTAAAGCTTTGATAATTCTCACGATGAAACCATATAAAAATATGGAAAAATGATCAAAATTTGCTACGGAATGTTTTTTTTTTTTCTCCGTAGGTATATGCAAATCATTACATCATTGTCTTTTCACTTACTTTCAGACAGGAATTGAAACCTCATCCACCAATACTGATGCATCCAGCCATTCCTATACAGACAAAGACGTCGCTGAGCATCAAAAGCATTTGAAGAAAATGGACGCAACTTGCATCATAATTGTTGTTTTAGAAAAAGGAAAATGGGGACAACATGGAACAAACAAAAGCAAGAACCGCGACATCGATTAACTTATTCCAGCCTAAAGTGAAAAATTGCCTCTAAATTACATCAGATAAAGAAAAAGCTCCCGGTGTTTACTTTTTGCACGAGTGACGCAAATTAGTCCAAAGGCCAATCAAGATTAATTAAAGTTAATCTCGAGAACATTAGCAAAGCTTCTTTCGCACCACGGGGACCGCATGATGAGCGATTAAGATGAACTTGGTTTTACACGGTCTACCGACAGTATGATTCTTTTTTCTTTTTTTTTTGGACCACCCCGTGCAAGAGGTTTGGAGATGGTCCGCGCATGATGGTTCTAAGTTTTTATCAATTTTAATTAATAAGGTGCCACGAAAGGAATTCCACACGTCGGACTAGCTTTATCACTCTGTAGCACCAATTCACGTCAAGATTGTGAAATTTGTGGAAAAGATTATCGTGTAATATATAACGGATTAAGAAAATAATATTAAATGACTCGAAGTAACAAACGAATCGAAGACCCAGCATTCTTTAGGATGCGTTCATTTTGCGGAAAATAAGTGAATTAAAAAATATTTTCCGAAAAATATTTGCTTATGTCGTTTAAAAAAATTAGTCAACGGAAAATATTTTTTATCGTCGTTAGCAATCTATGCCCAACTATTTTCATGGACGATGACAAATTTTTCCATTCATTTATTTTTCTAAACGATATAATCGATCATTTTTCAGAAAACGTTTTTCAAATCACTCATTTTTCGCGAAACAAAAACACCCTGTGTAAATAGTTGATTGTCTGCCTACTCGAAAAATGTAATGTCTCGAAGATGGCACAACGACCTTGACCAAAACTCAAGATTTCCCTAATGGAAAACATAATCAGATCTTAATCCCCTTTAGACCCATTAAAGAAATGCACATTTTGCACGTATGAACGTGATTATTATGCACTTAACACACTCTTTTCACACGCATGCGTACAATGAACCTGCCTCGAAACCCTATAATGGTCTTTGTTTAGGTTTCTCCCAAGCGACCTTGTTAGGTTCCCAGGGCCAATCTTTCAATTTTTTTTCTTTTCTCCCTCTTGTTTATAAATAAAGCGACAGTGCAAGCAACATGTGCAGAAGCATTTCAAAACAACAGCTTTATAAAATCAATAATTGGTTCACATTGTAGTGTCCCATGTATGTCACGCAACCTTCCTCTTTGAAGAACATGGAGTATGACCATTGACCCAGAATGTGGATAGAGTCGAGAATAATTTGAAGTATAGAGAAAATAAATAGAAAAAAAAAAACGGGTTCTTTGGATCTCGAGTCGTGTTGATGAATAAGTCCAATAAAAATCAAATTTCCAGTATGTACGAGCACGCAACGCTGCCACAAATTTCTTTGGTGGAGGGGAAGAGGAGGACTACTTTGGCTTTGGTATAGCCTTTCGTTTTCTCAGCTTTTGTCTGTTGTAAGGTCCAAACTTTGATCAGATCACCCTCATCCACTAGGCAAAAGAAGTCATTTTCTCCTAAATTTGGCAAGTGGCGATTTTCCATTTTAATTCTTGGCTAAGAAGTAAAAGTTCAAAACTGCATTGATTTTCTCATTCGCATCTTGTTTCGTGTGAACTGACATTAGAACAATTTTATTTAGGCTTAGTTAGTCAATCTTTAACATTTCACGGTACGTTAAAGACAGAGCCGTATTTATTTTATTTTCCCTTTAATTCACTTAACCTTTCGTATTAAAATATGGCCCGAAAGACTGCCGTAAGGTGTCGGGTCAAGCCTCATAACGAGCGCAGCCCTCGTGTTTATCTGCCGCCGTTGAGTTTGGAACCATTGCGACACCCATCAGTGGAGTAGTTCCATCCAGGAGTTACTTTACCATATTCTGAATTCAATAAGGCTTTCGCGTGGAAGCCGAACGCGCGTGCCATTTGAGTAATAATCCTTCAGAAAACTGACAAATCTATGCTTAATAATTCACCTTGGACTAATGAGCGCCTCGTCCTTAATACAGGAAAAAATAGGACAATAGACATTGGCAGATTCCGGTCGGACAAGAAACATTGCCCAGAAAAGCCTCCCCAAAATCCAGACAAGAAGGCATCTGCCGGTCAAGTAAAGCCACCCTGTTAACGAAACATTATGGAATCATGGTGTTCACGTGGACAATTTTGTACTGATGGAATCTTTTTGCCTCCTCGAAAACGGCATCTGTTCACAAAAGCAAAGTATTTCGAAACATGAACTGATGCCCAGGTCGACGCATTTCGCAGTGAATATTGTAGAGAAGTCGACGGGTCAGATCACCTCAACCAATATCAAAACCCGCTTCATCCTTGCCGAAAAAATTTGCATTACAGAGAGAGAGAGAGATTGATTTTGTACAGAGATTGGCAAATGTTCACAGTTTACAGAGTAATTACAGAGACAGACGATAGGAAGATGTGTCGGGAGTCAAATCCATCGCGACCTGGAGTAGGTGTTCGATGTTGATATCCGGGTAGTGCTGTAGAAGCTTCAAGTTCGCTATGAAGTCGCCACTCAGCAGTCTGCTCTTCATGCATAACAACATCGCGCAACAAACTCGCAGCAGCATATCCTGTGCCACCAGACAGTATGTCATTGTCATTTAAAAAAGTTGCCAACAAGTTGTTCGATTGAAGAGAGAGGAATTCGCAAAAGAATTTTGTCCACCATGAGCGTAATGCTAAAGTGTATGTTCAATTACCAGCAGGAAGCAAAGTGAAATCTAAATGCTCTAGCTCTATGCAGAAGAGTAAAACGACTGTTTCAACCCAAAAAGCATTACTCACCGGTTAGACGGAAGTGATCTGAACAGCATGAGTATTGAGAAAATAATGAACAGATAAAGTGAACAAAAATGACAACAAGAACATGCAAGCCTTATCCTAATAAGTGGATTCAGCCCTGGATTAATATGCTTTCAAATGTTACAGATTTCAGTAACATTCAAATGCTTCGCACATGTCTTTTTATGTCTTTCTCCATCCTTTTCAATCCACATTCACATCATGAAGAACACACCACGTGTCAAAAATTCACGATTTTTTATTTCACTTGCCGATCTTGTCCTCGATTGGTGTCGCACCAACTTTTCTTTAGATAGGACACTTTCAATCTCCTCTTCTTGATTTCCCATAGAAACTATGCTCATGTCTGGTACACATATCTGGTGTACCCATAAATTGAATAAACCATTGTTGGCCATAATGACTTCACATAGAATTTACCCTTATATTTAAGCAGCATTCTTGTGTTCCATAAAATATATGATACGCACACTTCTCTATTTCACCTATCATGCGCATATCCTGTGGCAGAAATCTTGATTGATTTAGATCAATTTCGCATCTCTTTTGCAAAAACAATCCAAGATTATGATCACCAAACTTACGATCTCTGATTCTTCCCACTGCTTCATTTGAATTTCTAGCTTTACTAAACTTAAAAAGAAATATAAGGATTCAAAAGTTCCTCCCAAAATTTGAGCTTCTCATATTATCATCCTATGTCTACCAATGCTATACATTAGCAAGAAGCATGCATCAGAAATATCATCCTAAATTGGCTAGTAGTTTTTACTCTACTTATCAGGCATTACATTTCTACATCATGAAGTTATGCCAATAAATAAATAGATCATTTTCCTAATAAAACAGGCTTCTTATCT